AATGCTCCCCTCCCCCTTTCTTCCTACTCTTCCTCTGTCCTTCTTTTCTTCTTTCTGTGTATCTTGTTTACCATCATAGGCCTCTGGGATGGTATTTCCCTAACACTTCTTCAGCCACTAACAAATAGCTTTTGAGGCTCCTTACGAGTTGGACACAGTGTTAAATACTACAAATGGGACTGTGGGGTGCATGGCCCTTACTCAAACTATATGTACTTGGTGTTGCAGGGCAGGGTACTGAGCACACTAGTGGTTTAATCTTACTGCAGATTGCCTGGGTGCTCCAAGGAAGAAGGAAAATACAAAAAAAGAAAGCCACAGATTTCTGTGAGATTTCCACCCAGTGGACAGCCCTGGGCTCCAGTGTTCGCCTTCCACCTTGTTTGAGACAGGGTCTCTTTGTTCTTTTTCTGCTGCAGTCTGGGCCTCCCTTCTCCCTATAAAAGCACCAGCATGGCACATGCTTATACTGTGCCTGGCTTTTATGGGGTCGTGGGTTATGGAGATTCAAACTCTGTTCTGCCAGCTTCTGTGGCAAGTGCTTTTACCCACTGGGCCACTATCCCCATTCCAGGAAGCCTTGTTTATCCTATTCCCTGAACAGGGCAGTGTTCTCAACTTTTAATGCATATTCACTAACTTATTTTTGTAAGTTATTTACTATAGTATCCTCATTTTATAGGTAAGAGACAAATGGCTTTCTCAAAGTCACATGGCTCTTCAGGAGGCTGAGTCCATTCAAGATCTTTCTGTCATTTGTCTTTTATAGTTTAGCACCCTTGAGTCTGAGGATGCATAGAGAAACCAAAGATGCCCTCTTCCATCTTTTACTATATATTTTAACTCCAAACAAGTTTCCATCGTCCACTGGGCAAGCAAAGGTCTTTCCATGCTGTCGCTAACAAAGGAATGAAGGTTCTTGCTAGAGATGTTAGCCTGCTGCCCTCTGTCTCCAGGCTCGACGCTGAGGTATAAACTGTGAAATGTAATTCTCTTTCTCTTCTTTGCCTGGCTGTGTGGGAAGCGCTGGCAGAGCACAAGAGGCTAACACGTTTCTCTATCTACTGTAAAGTCTCCACTGACCACAGCAGGTCCTTGGAGGTGCCACAAGGAGGAAAAGTGCTAAGTGAGGCAGTGTTCCCGTCAGTGGGACAATTTTCAAAGAGAAAAATCCCCCTTGAATGCTGCTGTTGTTTTCTTTAAGGAACCATTGCAGGCAGAGAGAGAAAAACCATAGTATATGCACTCTTTGAACACCTTACTTCATGTATTCTTTGAACATATATATGTTCTTTGAAAGCTTGCTTTTTTGTTTGTGGTATGGGGGAATAGACCTAACCATAAACTAGCCAAGCACTGTACTACTCAGTTACATTACTAGTTCTTTTTATATTTTTAATTTGAAACAGGGTCTTGCTGAGTTGTCTGGGCTGGTCTTGAATTTACTATGTTACCCAGGCTGGCCTCAAACTTGGGATCTTCCTCCTTAGCTTTCTTAATAGCTGGGATTATAGGAATGCCCCTGCTGAAAGCTACATTTTTTTTTTTTGGTCACTACTTTAAAAAAAAGGGTAACAAAAATTATCTATGAGGGAAACTGAATGTGTGACCAAGAGAGTAACTTGACCACGTCTGGTCATTGCTGATGTGCACAACATAGAGTGTCACTGGAATCTAATGGGCAACACCCAAGCACTATAGACAGTAGTAGGCTGCTCTCGATAGTCTATGAATCATACAGAAGTCCCCCACCAACCAAAAGTCACCTGGTCCCAAGTATCAGTAGTGATGATGTAGGCACATAATATTATGAGGCTGGCCTATAATAGAATACTTACTTTTAATATTTTTAAATTGAAATCAAATCAATTTTAAATTGAGTTTCATAGAGTATTTAATATGTCCTAGGATCAAACCCTCACTTAATCTAAAAGATCAAAAGAGGGACTAGACACAAAGACACACAACAGAGTCTTGCTTCTGAGTGAATGGAGCCACACACCTGTTTCTCATCTCCTTCTCTGAGTACCACCCAACTCCCCAGAGAATGCACATAAAATAAACATAGGTGTCTAGAAAACTGCAAAGAGGGAGGCAGGCTGGAGAGGAAATTTGAAATTCAGCTGACAACCTGGTAGTGAATCTGTGGATTTTCTTTTTGCCTCACATATCTCCAGATCTTGTGTAGACAAATCTGGGGAAATCAGAAAAGCTGAGGGGTATGGGTGAAGGGAAAGGGTCAGCCTGAAACACAAATGTTGAGATAATAACTTCTCTACTCTAGCCAAACACTGCAGACAAGACGATCACACACCCTATCCCAGGCCAGAAAACAGTGAGTAAGATTTTAGACTTCTACCATGAAGGCTGAAGAAAGGTGTTTGATGTCCCCCCTGCATGAGGTTAGTCACAGATGGGAAAATACCAACCCAGAACCTTCTGTTTCCACTGACGGCAACACAGTTCCTTCCCTGATACCTTTAGTGGAGAACACCTCAGAAACCAAACATCTTCCTCCCCCATAGGAATAAGATTCAGCAACATGTAAAAACACATCAAAAGACTTATACCTCATGACTAAGTAGAATTTATCTCAGGGATTGAAAATCTAGCTTAACTATTTAAAAATCAGTTATTGAAGCACAGTGTTGCCATGACTAAAGAAGAAAAATCATGTGAATGCATCAATCAATGCATAAGTATTTAATTTGTACAAAGTAAAAATATATCAGAAAAGTAAGAACAGAGAGGGACTTTCT